ACAGTCAATTCAATTCTGCCATGCACTCGTCTATATGCATTTAGATTGTCCGATCGGTTGACAGTAATTGTTGCCTTTGAAAATTCGCGAGAAACGAAGTGAAAAATTACTTACGCGTCCTCTGACGCCTACTTAATGATTTCTGCACTATATGATAACGTTCGCTCGAAAATTGTGACCATTGATAATAATTGTATCAATTATTATTATTATTATAATTATTATTATTATTATTATTGTTATTATTATTATTATTATTGTTATTATTATTATTATAATTATTATTATCATTATTATTACTATTATTAATATTAGTATTATTATAGCCTGGTAAATCAGCGTAGCAGAATATAAGCCACACCCGCACCCGGGGCCCATAATCTGGTTGGGGCCAGCGGCGCACAACAGCGTTCCGTCATCAGCTCAGGCCGTAACACGCGGCATAATAATGGCCAGCGACGAAAGCATCTGGTATATACTGCATGGTTTTATTACTCATGTTTTGGATTTTTTTTATTAGTCGAATTAGCATATCAGAAATTCAAATTTTGAGCATAGACATACCATGAAGACTGCTATGTCATTTAGACGTGAAAGCTGTTTATTTATGTGTGGCAACATACAATAAGCAGTTTTAATGCATATAAAAATAACAAGTGATCTATTTTGCCATTTGAACACATAATGAACGTTGTTCCAGCATATGTGCACACAACATAGTTAAAGATCATGAGAACATACGCTTCTGGTTTGAGATTATTATTTTCTAAAGAAGTATCATCCTGTCAACAGTAGTAAAATTGAATTCGTTTTTTATATGAAATAATTTTTACTTGCACTACGCCTATATAAGGCTAATTTTAGACAAAAGATAGATCCTTCTTTACTGAGATTTTTTTTGCAATTGAAGCGACTTAGGAAAAAATGTCGATTTGTAATACCTTTTGGCGTATCACAGCTAATCCAATAACAATAATAACATCACATCTATTTTATCCCACAACTTACGGGAAATTGCTTATTTTGCAGCACAATAGAATCCTGACAATGCAATTTGGTCTGTGTTTGCCTGACGTCGGCTTGATGATGTCATTAGAGAGTTGGGACTATGTGGGAAATGACCATTGATAATATTATGAATAAAAAGGGTGTCCGTGCTGCGTATACTCGAGGTCGAAGAGTCAACTTATTCTGGGCTCAGGATATGATGAGTATTGAAATACTGATGATAGTAATCTCTGTGTTGCAGGGAAGGACTGATAAATATATCAATAATATTTTATTATTTAAAAATTAATATTATAATAATAAAATATTATCATTTTGAGTAATATTTACATTATAAATAATACTCAAAAATATTATTACATTGGATGAACTGTTGAATCGTTATGATTACATCCATTTCAGTTCATTAATTTAGAAATATAATCCGCAAAATAAATTCCAATCAATTTGTTTATGCCAATATATTACCAGCCTCGCATAGGACTAAAATTAACTCCATAATTGCGATGAAATTTAGCCTGAGACTAAAAGATTTAATAACAGAAAGAGGGAGGCTAAAATTTCAGCATAATTCCAAGTACAAATATTCTCCCTAAACAATTATTGCTTCGGATTAGTTACATGTGTTAATTTAATTGAATGATTTCGAAAAAATTTTTACAGAAACTAATAAGGTTGCCATCGTTACTAGGTATTTAGGTATTTATAGGTATTTAGGTATTTATTTATATAGGTATTTTGCTTTTAGTCAGATGATCTTACTTGACGGTAAAGTTACAACCGATTTCATTTCAACTTATAAGCTACTCATAATCAAGATCATTATGGATATGGTGAACACATGAGTTCAAAACCATTCAAAAAGTTCGTTGAAGACGTGGGTTGTCATTTCCACTAACAAAGGGAATTGATGATTTAATTGATTATCGATATAACACTTTTATAAATCACACGTCGCAATATTTTGATTACAATTCAATTTCTATCACTAGATACTAATGCCAATTAAGGCGACATCATGCAGCTATTGTAACAGTTGATAGCTGTTATCGTATTGAATACTTTTTTCATTATTCACATTTCATTATTATCATCAGTTACAGTAAGTTCTAATGGTTGTCATTTTACGAATTTCCGACTAAAAATTACAAGACAGCCTTAGCTATGTATCTCATATTATTACAATTAAAAAGAAATCAGGACTTTCATCAGAAATTGCGTCCAATTCATGAAATCATGGCAGAATAAATCGATCTAATATAAGGTGAATGTAATTTTATGATTGCTGAATGTCCGGCAGAAGCGGCATCCGTTAGCTGCATTCAACATTTCTGCTCGCCATTAATGCAGTCCCATCATTTCTCTCGCATCTTTTATTCATGTCGGTGAAATGGTTAAATGACAAGTCGGTCAATGATTTTGTAACCTGCACTATAAAGTCGTGAAATTCTAAATAAGGAGAGAATAATTTTTATAATTAGATACGGCAGGAGGAAAATTTTTAAGCAAAGCAGTCGAAAAGATAGACAGCAAATTTAATTATTCACGAACCAACCGATATTTCATAAATTAAAAAAATTTACGCTAAGGCCCAGTGATAAATAATTGTACAGATTTATCACCATAAGCGAAATCTTTAAAATAATTTTTTTTGCAATGTTGTGCAGTGACACCGCACCATCTGTCCCTGGAGACTCGATTTGCGTTGACCGCATCCACTTAATCTTGACAGCATCGATAACTCGCAGCCAACGGCACGGCGGGTCTGACGCACGGAAACTTCCTTGAAGTAAATGTTCGCTTCACGACTCAATTTTCACTAGAATTAACAATAAAATGAACGATAACGGATTAATAGCAACGTAATGGTATCATTTGACTTCAAGATTGTAGTCCACAAACATTTTCCTGCCAGAAGGCTGCTGCAGTATGGCCCAAAATTGAAGCGCTTGTCACGTAAAGTGGAAATTTATACACTAACTTGCCAAGGCTCTTGTTCATGAAGGATATCCTTACTGAACAGGATTGTCAAAAATCAATGCTAGCACAACGTAAAATTGTGATTTGTATTAAAAAATGTTTGCGTCTACAGGTTTTAATAAAATTTCTAGAATGGGATTGGGATGGTTTTGAAAACAATGTTTTTCATTGCATATTGAAATTCATTAAAAAATTTTCCTCAATAATGTCTCGCTCTACATATTTTCACTTACCGGAGTATATTAAAAATATATGACATTAAATTTATTGCTACTGGATGCACCTGAATTTAACAACTTCTAGAACCCGAAAACATCGGTTCGATCGATGCCGTTATAAATTACTTCCTTGATGCCATGAAGCTTCATGTCCAACATAACAGTGTGTTACAACACTTCATATTCTCCAACAACCCCACGGTCGATTTTCTCGTGCATAATCCCTCTTATGTTTGCTGACAACCCAGCGTTCATTTATAATGCAGTACTCCCATAAACACATCGATCATCAGAGTCCCTTTATATGATGCCTTAAAAGCCCCAAAGAATGTTTTTTTCGAATTATTCACTTAAAAAAAGTTTGCCACACATTTCACATTTACCGCACTCCGTTTATTTTCTCAACACTCTTGGGCAAAAACAAAAATTGTTTCAAGTCAAGATAGTTCAAATTTTTATACCAAACATACGCTTCGCAGTTGCGTATGTTTGCATCCTGGACACAGAACACACGATTGTATAATTCTTCTTGTGCGTGTGAAAGTTCAAATGTTAAGGCGAATTTATAAGTTATTCGAAGGCGAATAATAGCTTGTAGAATTTATTTACGAAAACATTGAATGATGATTACAGAGTTTAGCCTGAACAGGAATACAAAAATTAGATCAGTACTCACTGCAGTGAGTGTCAGAGAGCGCATTTTCTCTGTCACGTGAAGTCACGGACGGACGGACAGATATGACGAGCACAATAGCGTTTTTTTCCATAAATGAGAAAAAGCTCTAAAAATCCTATTTGAAGATCAACGGAAACATAAACGTTTAGCAGGTTATTCGTGCTGATGTAGCATAGTCATCCTAAATGCCAATACGAGATTATATGATGTTGAACAATATGTTGAACTCAACACCTAATGTTTCTGTCCGTCATTATGGAAGTATACATTAGCGTCCAATTGGCAGTCAAATTTTGAATAGAACATTTACTGGTATTTTCTTCCTAAAATAAGTTTATATTTTTTGTTAAGGCTACATGAGGCTAAATGTTGATTCACTGCTAGGAGTACAACATTAAACGATTTTCTTCATACCCATTAATGAGTTATGCTGGTGGATAAATATTTTACGTATGTACATGTTCACCAATTTTTTTCAGGTAAAAGCAATTTTACAGGGAGTTTGGATTGACTTTCATTGACTGTTAATAAATTTGTTTTGAATTTCAATCAAATTTGGTATTTCCTAGACATGTTAGGACAGTGTATAACATTGATTCAGTGATTCAAATGAAAATATCTTTATATCTGAGTGAAGATCAATTTTTATGATGATGTTGGAGCCGCCATGTCTCAGAGGGGCAGGCCACACGAAAAGAAAATTGTAGAATGTAGATAAAAAGTTTTAAATAAAATGAACTAGATTCGAAGCCTGAAGAATCTTATAAGTGCTCGCAAATTGAAGAAGTAAATTGAAAAACTCGCGATTTTTCCTGAACTCATTAAAAAATTTAAAGAAGAGTGAGTGTTCAATCCTCGACAGTGGTTGAAGTACAACAAAGTGTATTTAAAGAATCTTCAATTTCCCAGATTTTCTTTTCGCACACTTCCCATTTATTATTAGTTTGCATATTGTTTTCATTTTCAATAAGTGGTTTTACTACTTTGATCCCGCGGTTAATTGTGTATGACTTATCAGAATTTTCTAACAGTTAAAAACAGTTAGACATTTTTTAATAAAAAATAATTTACTATACCTTTTAATTATATTATCATTCTTTGTTGAATTTACGAAAATTTGGCCGCGATGTCGCAGTCTCGAAAAGGCGGCGGCCGAGATTCATCTCGCAGCCGCACCTCCCGCGACTCGTACCAGGGACTGGACAGCCCACACGCTGCCTCCACAGGCCACAGCACCCCGTCCAACGCCAGCAGCAGCGCCAGCTCCGACTCCAACACTCCAACTTTACAACTCAACTCGCCTTTTTCCCCCGTGTCACATTCCAGTCACCAATCTGGGTGCATTTCCACCACGTACAACCCATTCAACAACATGTCAGGGACCAACCCGCATCATCACGGCAGTCAGAGCGTGGGTAACTCACCCATGACAGGCAATAGAATCGTTAAAACTTGGCGCCAGATGGGTGGTAAAACCAAGTCTAAGACCCGCGATATTTTGAAGCGTTGGCAGACCATGAATAACGGCCAGGCTTCTGAAGACTCTCTGGCAGGAGGTGATGACTTGAGTGACGTCACGGAACCTGGGGATGGAGGCGGCCATTGCCCAGGAGCTGGAGACTCATGCAAGAAGAACTCTTGGAGCGTCCATGTCTGGAGTGAGTACTTTGCATGGTTAAATTTTAGGGATATTTCTTATACAGGAAATTTAATACTGAATACAAAAATGACTATTCTACACAATTTAATAAAGCATAAAGAATGAGTAATTAAATATTTAATACAGGATGGATATCTGATGCAGCGCAGTGTTCCGCCACTTAGCACTGATTTTGCTGCGTAACACTTTCAGCAGCATTACACTACACTAGTACATAATTGAATTTAGTGAAACAAAACTTAATCTATTTACTCAATGGCTCGAACTTTTACAGCCCCACTGCATGCAAGCAAGCTTACACGAGTCTGTTAACGTAATTGGTTTGATTGACAGGCCAGCTGTGTTAATCGCGCCTATGACATATAAAATCAATTATGGATGGAAGGATTTGAAGTTAAAAGTATTCTAAAAATCACCCTGGATAGTGATAGAGGCTGAACAAAACGTTGGGAAAAGTTTTTAAAAACTGTAATTACATTTAAAAACCAATAGTTTAGATGCATCTATGAGTCCATAATCTTCTACATAGTCATATGTACATACTTACATATATACCATTCAAATACAAATAGATTAGGTATCTTTCCAATTTTATTCTAACTGTAGCCATTTTTTTAGAACGATATCTTTTGCATTTAGGTAGCATTTTCTTGTATTCCAAAATCTACGTATAAATCTACTTAGAAGGACCGTTGCAATAACAACAAAAAAAAATTCAGTAGAGGATCTCTACATTAAATCTAGGCAAGTGTAACCATGTACTTTCTGAGAACCAAAACGTCTCGAATTTTGAAACCAATTCCCTTTTTGATATCTTGCAATGATTTGAAAATGATTTACCGAGGGCAAATTATTACATGAATATTTTTAAATGATCACAGCTAGCATTTCTGCAATATTGACTTCTGGAACTTCTAAAGCATGGCTAAAAATTATCCGCTGCTCACAGAGCGTCCATCGTTTGGGATGGAACCATAAAAATGCAGTTTTTTGCTGGTGGTTTTTCTTCAAAGCGCCGGGAAAAGTCGACTTGTAATTGACGAGTTTCAGGGGCCAATGCTGGCAGAGGGAACTAGGAACACATCTTTTTAGGGGTGACTAAATTGATTTTTGTTGACATTGTTTTTTGGCTTGCCTCAATACTTCATATGGCCTTATTCAAGAGCTTGAGCTCGGTTTATCAAACCAAGTATCAAATGTGCAGGCATTTAGCAATATCATATTGATCAGTGACATCCTGTACTTCACATGTTAATATCTCTCATGTTCAAATGTTTCTATATGCACCTGTCAATCATGAAGACAACGCTGTGGTGCCCTAGGGTGTAGAATATGGTTTTATCAGCAGAATCATGGATGAAGCTTTTTATCTTAATCTTGCTCAAATTAATCAACCAAGTCTTCTTTTAATTACATTACTCCATGAATGCTCGGTGTCAAAAGTAATTTTCGACCATAATGTTGAAACGAATTATTTTTCTGATATAATAAAGTACCTTCGTCAATTTTTAACCTCATTGTTCAACTTAAATAACTTTTATTCACAATTGGGTCTCGAATTGCGATGTCGAATTTTTTTCTGTTGTCATGTACATTACGATTATGGACTGTCCCTAATCTCATTCCAGGTTACTGGCCAAATGCGAATAAAAAGTGCGTGTAGGCGATCAAGCTGATGTTGGCTTTAAATTGGTCGATTTATGCATGTATAAACTTTACTTTGATTTCCGGCAATCCGGCAACTTGTAACGTGCCCTCGAAGTTCGATATGAACGAGACGCCACGACAATCTCTTCGTGGAGTAATAATAATAATAAATAATAATAATAATAATAATAATAATAATAATAATAATAATAAATTCTACCGCTTGTCAAGTTCGGGAACAGAACTAAGACGATGACCTGATTATTTGATGTCATAAAAACACGTGTTTTATACATGTGTTATAAATAAGTAATATATATAATACATCGTGGTTTATTAAATGCATAATAATGAATTAATTAACTATTGAGGGAAATATCGTTCATGGAAAACTAACTGACGCACAGATATTTGAATGAGCAAGAATAAGACGAAATAAAATTTTTAATGTATATAAAGTTGATTAGAAGCGATGAATTATGTCAAATAGAAAATTCTACCTACAGATTCAAGAAATAAAAAATATTTTACTCTAGCATTAGTAAACCTCAAGCAAGAATATATTATCAAACCCGCCCAAAAAGAATATAAGAATGATTTAGAAATATTCATTGGGAAAAGTGGATCAGCATATTTTGAGTCGGAGAACATTACTTTATCGATACGTCGACCTACAGATGAATCTGCCGACGCATCAATTCAAATCAACAAATACGTAGCAACAGATGGTAAACAACATTAGAATGAGACTGATGAATTAATACTTATACGATTCTGAAGGATATAATCATACAAAAGTGTGAGCGCGTAAGCTCAATAGCAATAACCTGAAATTTTTAAACTAGGCTTAATTATACAGCATTGCATACGAAAACGAACGCAGCATAGCATAAAGAAAACACAGCATGGCCGAAAAGTAACACAGAATGCAGGAAAAGTAAAACAGCATGACAGAAAAAGTAAAACAGCAAGTATATAGTATAAGAAAAAACAGCATGGCAGACAAAGCAACACGGCAAGTATAATGTATAAGAAAACACAGCATGGCAGAAAAAGTAAAACAGCATGCAAAAAAGGTAACACATCAAGTATAAAGTATAAGAAAACACAGCATGGCAAGTAAAACAACACAAAAAGTATAAAGTACAAGAAAACACAGCATGGCAAGTAAAGTAACACAGCAAGTATAATGTACAAGAGAACATAGACTGGCGTATACACATTATACAAGCAAACAAAGCCTGGCATAATGAGCCGACGACTCAAGGAGCTGTCGAAGTTTCAGCCGCATTACAAGTTTGCCATTATAGGATCCGGTGACATTATAGGATCCGGAGGGCGCCCTGCAGGTTGCACTGCTACTGTGAACTCTAATTCGATAAAAAACATTAGCCTCATGGCCATCTCGATATGAGTTTCACGCTGCAACATCCCACGTGTTTCATTCAAGATGAAACTGTCAAAAATTTTTGCAGTTTCCAACCAGAGCCAATAAGCAAAAGTAAACAGCTCTCTATTTAACTACATTTTTGACAAAACCCTAGCGAAGGTCGTGCATCAACCCAGAGTGTGTTGCAAGACTCTACATGCCACTAAGTGTCGCCTAATCTTACAGGAAGGGCTGCCTGACACGGACAGCCATTTAGAGAGCTCACCAGCTGAGCATGGAAATGAGATGCAGTCAATAATCTCTTAATTCCAGAATGATTAATCAGGCACAAAGACCGCTGGAAATACAAATGAACTTCCGGTAAATAGTGATTTTAGGCTTTGGGTTGAAATTCCCTTATCCATATAAGCCCTAACCTAAAGTTAATTATAATTTTTTAAGCTATACTGTAATTGTTTTCATCGGGAATCATTGGAGAAGCTAGCTTCCCGATTGCATGCTCGACGTTTAAACATGGCCATACCAAGAAATTTGTCATAAAGAATTTAATCAATCGTAAAATTTCTGCCGCATAATAGATAACGCCATATCACTAACCTTCAATATAGATGAATCTGGAACCCTCGCTGAGCATGAACTTGAAAGACCTAGTAGTGTATTTGGACAGGATGCCATAGTGCTTCTATGTAGTCCTCCGCGTGCAACAAAATCCAGTCCAGTTGTTATTGCTTGCTGGGCCATCCAAGTGAGCTCTCTGTGCTCTGCGAGACTGCCTGGGGGCTGTATAGACGTCGCTATATTACATGTTGATTGCAAGGACGCTACATGAGTGCTATGATGATTGCTATATGACGACTGTGACATTCGGTGAGTGCTGTTGCTTCTAGTGCTACACGCGCATGCTGGGACGAGAGTTATTTCACTTGTGCAGTTTCTGCTAGTGCTTAGCTCAACATGGGTTGTGAGGGGGGTTATATCACTAGTGCAGCTACTGATAGGGCTAAACACGAGTATTGTTAGGGGAGTTATTTCACTAGTGCAGCTACTGATAGTGCTTAACACGCGTATTGTGAGGAGGTTATATCACTAGTGCAGCTCCTGATAGTGCTTAACACGCGTGTTATGAGGGGAGTTATATCACTAGTGCAGCTACTGTCAGTGCTTAACACGATATCAAAATGGCCAGCACTGTTGCTAACTTCGCGTCATGTGCTGCAATTGACATACTATTGTAATAGTGTGTGAATTAGTCTGTTGCAATAGACAACAGACTATTTTTCCAATTGTTCATTTTTCCACCAGTATTTTTCTGGGAAAGCAAATACCATTAGTTTCGACGAGATCGGTCATTATTTTTGGTTACACTATTTCTCTAGTTGCGTATGCTCACAATTACAGTATATCCGCACGTTAAGTTAAAAAATTTTCATTTGCTCACCCGGAAATAAATAGAAACGTACAGAAATTTTTTTGTCTGCATGGAATGTTGGAGTTAATTAGTCGTAGTAATTTCATTCAGTCAACTTTAATTCTATTGAAATTTTTTATTTCTAAATAAACTAATTGTATGCTCTGAGGAGAGCGCTATTATTTTTAATTCGATTAGATTAAAACGCATGGAGCCGAAAAAGCCAGCGCTTACATTAAAACTCTTTTCGGTTTACAAATTTTCTTTGTGAAGGTCGTAAAATTGTAGCAAGGTCATTGATTGGAATTGACTTAAGCTTACTTCTTCGTAGCTTATACAAAAAGTCGTTTTATAAATTAAATTAATTTGCGAAAAACTAATAGTTATCACTTCAATTATTGAACAACTAACCATTTGAGTAAATTTAATTAAATACTTAAATTATGCTGTGACAAATCATGAATTTCTCTTAAATACTTCCGTATGAATTATTATATTGTTATTTAAACAAAGAAACAACCCCTTCAATCTGTCATGATCTTTTAATCGGAAA